CCACTTCGCCACGACCACCACCTCCTAAACCACCACCGCCAACACGACCACAGCACACCACAATCGTACCGTCGCCTCACGCACCTGACACCTAACCATCGCACCCACAAACACACACTCAACAAAACTCACCCAACCACCTCCACCATTACATCAAACCGTCCCACCACCACCTTCACTGCGCCGCCGCGCCTGATCCATCACCAAAATCTGAAATAACCGCCGCCTCCGCCGTGTCGAACTTGCCCAACCAGACACGGCTTTTCTTCCCAGGATCACGAATCTCCACCTGTAGGGGATCGATTACAAGGAGAAGCAGCACTCCTCGAACCCACAATCGAATCCCCACCAGCAGTCTCTTTTATTGGAGATTTAGTAGAGGCAATAACTAGAGATTCAGATCTTTTACTAGGAGATCTATTTACCAACTGCCCAATCCGCCGTGGAAAACTCCATCTCCGCCTGCTATTTCGTCGGATAGAAGAGAGAAGTGTGTGTGAGAGAGAGAAGAACGGTCGTCACCAGAGAGGGAAAAGAGAGAAAACGGCGATGGACAGCAGGAGAGAATACAGAGGCGGGAGGAGAGGAGACGGCGGGGAGAATAGATACAGGGAGGGGAGAAAAAGGGAGGCGGCGGCGTTGGGAGAGACGGGAGATGAGAGCGGAGAGGAGATTGGTTGAAATGATTTTAGGGTTTCGTTGGGTTAAAATGATTTTATTGTATATAGATATAAAATTAAAAATAAAAATGTAATTAAAATATTAATTAAAACCTNGGGAGGAGGCAGCGGCGGTGGGAGAGACGGGAGATGATAGTGGAGAGGAGATTGGTTGAAATGTTTTAGGGTTTGGTTGGGTTAAAATGATTTTATGGTATATAGATATAAAATTAAAAATAAAAAATGTTTTTAAAATATTAATTAAAACCTGATTTTTGAAATTTTAAACTTGTTGTTTGATTTGTGAAATTGGAAATCTAATTCCAGATCTATGTGTAATTTCCTCTATTTGGAATGCAATAGTGGGGTGGACCTTATTTGGACATTTTTTGGATTTTTTTGGTAATTCAAAAAGAGAGGAACTTCTGCAGTTTCTGGATTTTCTGTGATGATTTCATGGATCTGAAGGGTATTTTTAAATGTATGGGATTTTGATGCTTTAGACATTGAATGATTAATTGTGGAATATATATATATATATTTCTTTTTTTTAACGATTTTTGGAAAATTAATTATGGATCATGCGATTGGCGAAAAGTTTAAGCTAGGGAGAAAAATTGGCAGTGGATCTTTTGGAGAGCTTTATTTGGATAATTTGATTCATTTTTTATTTGTCTGAATATAAACTTTACTGTTACGTATTCATTGGTAGCTTCCTCTTCTTTCTCACTATTGAAAATAGACTATTTAATCATTCCCAGCCACTCGCATGAATAAGTGGAAAGTCACTTGCCATTATTGTTGAATTAGCACGATAATACACCTGAAATATGACTGATCAAAATTTTATCTTTTCATTTTCAATAGGATGCATCTATGAATTAGTAGAGTTTCTACGTAACAACGAGATATTCAAGACAAAAAGATAATACATCCTAGCATAGAAATTCGTTTTTGTTTTATGAATGAGGTTCTACAAGACAAGAAAAACAATACATCCTAGCATAGAAATTTAGCGCCTGTTTGTTTCTGCTAAAAAACAGAATTTCAACTGTTGAGAAGCAAAAATCCAACCGTTGAGCCACTGTTCAAGCCGTAATGTTTGATCATGTGTGAGTGATGTGGGGACCGCCTGCCATAGTTAACGATCAAAAAATCAATGTCCTGGAGGAGGAAAATCGCTGCCAGACAGGGGCTTAATTTTTTGAATTAGATACATTTTTTAAGATTGATAATGAAGTTAATGTACAACGATATTAAAATATAAAAACTCGCAAAGAACAAGTGTAACTTATGAACTCTATCATTTTTAGTATTTTTGTACTATTATTTTATATTTTTATCATCATTAAATTCATGATAAAAAACTCAAAATTCGACATCAATTAAATTGTGCCCGCACTAAATGAATTTTCTGACTCTACCCTTGATCACATATGACGTAGCGAAATATATTTTGGTGTCAGAATTTCTTCAACCAAATAAAAAAAATAAATAAAAAATCTCAAATCTCTTCTTGATACGTCATCTTTATATAAACTATTATATAACTTCTTATATACAAGCAGCATTATTCTTATAGATTTATTTTATGCTGATTTAACTTTAATATTTTCTATTTAATCATTCAACGTTT